CCCTGGATACCTGAAGGACTGCCTCCTTCCATATGAGCCTACTCGGCAGTTAAGATCTAGCTAGGGGGGGCCGGCGCTGCCATCCCCGCCCGGGTCGAGGCGCGCTGCTGACTCTTCACTGAGGCCCCCGGAGCCGTTTGGGGCTGGAGTCACTCATGCTCCCGCCTGCGAAACCGAATCGCTCCTCCGCGCGCTCTGGCGGACTCCCGGTCGACGTGTGCGCTCGCCCAGCAGGCAGGCTCTCCGGAGAGAAGAGGCTTGCTTCGCTCTCAAGGGAAGGGAGCCGGATTAGCGTGACCGTTAAGCTCTGTGCCGGTGCTTCTTCCGTTGCCTCCGGGACCACCAGCAGCAGCAGCAGCAGCTTTCCTGATCCCTCGCCCGCCCGCCTGCCTTGCCTTGCCTCCTCTCTCCGCCCAGCCGCTAAGCCGGTGACGCGCACGGTCTGGGAACAAAAGGCGGAGAGAGGCGCTGGAGGGGGCACCGGATCCTCAAGGCAACAGCGACCCCCTTCTCCGGGCGGCTGAGAGCCGAGAGGGATTTTTTCTTTTTCTCTCTCCACTGAGTAAATAAACAGGGGCGCGAAGCCCTTCCTCACGTTTCTCCTGCCTGCTCGCAGCGGAGAAGTAGGGCTAGTGGCCACCGTGAATGGTGGGGCGGAAGATGCAAAAGCGAGCATTCATGTGCTTACTTACACTCACATAGTCAGCCCCACCACCACCACCACCGCAAGGATAGACAAGAACTAACAGGCACCTGAGGTCAGCCCCATCACCGCAAAGGATAGACAAGAACTAACAGGCACCTGAAAGGATACACGCATGTCGTCTGCTTTTGGTTAAGGCGGCAGACTAGACTGGGACGGCTTGAAGGAAGCCAAAGAGGGGCAACATCCCACTTGGCTAGGTGGACCAGCTGCTACTCTGCAGCCCAGGAGCCTCCTTTTATGCTTGTCTTTATTCCTGATACCTTCAAAAATACTTCTCAACATGTGCAGAACAGCTTTCTTATTCTCCAGCTCAGAATGCTACAGTGTCTGGGATTAAAAAGCTGCTGAGGCCAGATGAGAGGAATGTAGCTGCTGGCATGCTTAAGGCCTGTGTCTTTAATAAATGGGCCAAGAGGCAAAGAGAAGGTTATTCCCCATCCCTGCAGACACCCATCAGATTTCCCTCACACGGGAAGCAAAAAGAACCAACCTGTTGAAAATGTCTCTGATCTTTCCCACTTTGGCCCCCTTCAAGCAAGCCCAGTCCAGTCTGCCTTCTTAACCAAAGGCAGATGTCACGTGTGTGTAGTTTCATGTGTGTGTTAATTTTTGCCTGTCTTTGTGGTGGGGGAGGGGGCTGACTGTGTGTGTAAGCAGGTACACGAATGCTGATTTTTGCCCCAGGCGCCATTAGTTCCATTCTGTGTCTTCCGCACCACCACCCACGATGGGCACCAGCCACCATATGTAACCCCATATGCAACACAAGCTGCAAAATCACAGTTCAGCCCTTCAGCAGTTGTTTTCGATCAGGAATAGAATGGACAATTCTGTCTAACCTGGAAAGGCAAGAATACGCGAGCAATTTGGTACAGCTGGCTTTTGTTTCTGAGGAGGAAAACCTTCCAGTATACATGTTTTGCTGTTGTTATTGCTGTTTTTCTTTTATTTCTGAAAGCAGTAGCCTACTGAAGGAAAATAAACAAGTGCCCACACCTTGTTCCTAAACCCTTTCTATATATAATCTCCCAAGCTTCACCTCTTTCTTCCCATATCCTGCTTTATTAATGTTATGTAAATCTGCCTTCTAGCCTTTCCTGAGCCAGGCTTGCATGAAGCTGAGAGTGTCAGAACTGGAGGGAAATAATTATATTAGAAATCCCAATTCAAATAACTAGTTCAAGGGCCGTCTGGCTACACCGCAGCTGGACACTTTTAGGGGAGCTCCTTAGAGCTTTCTTCCTCAACAATGCCAGTACAACTTCTTTGAAGAAACACGTTAAATGCATCTCAATAACCCTCGCAACAACCTCGCAAAGTAAGTCATTATTATTAGACCCCCAATTATATTTCAAAGGTGGGGGGATGGTGATGTCGGGAGACCACTCAGTGAGTGAAAAACCAAGCAGAGACATGAACTGTTCAGATTTATCACATTTCTTTTCGCCAGACCAACAGGAATGGGCAGAAGGTAGATGTGGTTCTCCTGGTAGAACTCGGGGGACATGCAGTGAATAGACAAAAATTTCTGACCCCAATTATTTTAACAAGAGCAGCAACCATTATCCTGAATTGCACTTCTGAAATGAAGAAAGTTTGAGCTAGTAGGTTTTTGTGTGGAAGCACTGAGGGTTCTGTCCAGCTCCAGCACAGAAAACAAATTCCTAGATGCTGCATTTTTAAGTCTTTTGTAGTCTTGAGATCCAGCCAGTGGATCTCAAGGCTGTAAGTACACGCACAAGCATAATGCAAATCCTGCAAGGCTGCCTGCCCTACAATGTACTGTAAAAGTCCCTAGTGAAAACATGTTACTGCAAAGGGCTTCAGGGTGCCATTGCGTAGTTGGAATTTTATTCACAATCTTGCATGCTGTCTGTAGTTTGAGTGATTGGGAGGGACTTCATTGTTGTTCTCTGCTGTCAATGGAGGACTGACTTATAGCAACCCTAGTACATTTTTCTTCTGGCAGGATAGCTCAGTGGTTTAAGTATTTGGCTGTGGAGCCAGAGGTTGGGATTTCAGCTCCCTACTGTGCATCTCAGAAGAGCCAGCCTGCGTGGCTTTGGGCAAGCTGCACAGTCCCAGAGCATCCTCACAAGAAGGGAATGGTAAACAACCTCTGAGTATTTGCTACCTGGAAAATCCTGGAAAAGGTCACCATGAATCAGAATTGATTTGAGAGCACATGATTTTTAATATGGTTTTCAAAGTAAATAAGGCATTTAGGGAGTAGTTTTACCATTTCCACCTACCAGTGACTTTTCCATGGCAGAGCCAGGGAATCAAGCCCAGGTCTCCTGAGCCCTAACCTATTATTCCAGCCACCACACCACACTGGGAAGCCCAGAAGTAGTTTACAATTTCTTTTTTCTGGGGGCACTTTAAAAATGTACAGCTTAACCAAGGCGGCTTCACAACCTGCGTCTTCTCAAGGGATAAAGCGGTGGGAAATGGAACTCCCAACCTCTATCTACAGCAGCCAGATGCCTCACTGAGCTATCTATTTAGCTTGAATTATTTTTTACCCAAGCCAGGTATCCCACTTCAGCTCTATTATCAATCTTGCTTCTGTTTTCTTTACATACCTTAGTGTTACTTCATTGTTATTTTAATATCTGGTTCATCTCTCATTAATTATGCAGTAATCAAGATGAGTGTAGTCTTCTAACTACTTGTGTAGACTAATCTGATGTGGGTTCTATTGTTCCATAGTCAGTCTTCTGATTATCACAGTCTAACTAACAGACACATAATTCATGTGAATTCACTCAGCTTCTATTTACAGTATTAGCAATCCTTAGGTCATCTTGCCATTTATTCTATGGAATATGATTGACATGAAAGAGTATTGCAGTTAATTACTAAAGGTGCATTCCTTCTGCTTCCTTAGAGAAGCTTCTCTAATTCTCTTCCAACGCAATTATTTATTTTTTGGCAGGTTCCATTCTTTACTTTCTATCTATAGCCTTAACTGAGCTGGGAAATTATTCAGGTTTTGTTTTTGGTTGTTGTTGTTGGGTTTTTTTTAAACTTTTCCCCCTCTTCCCAGATCCTCATGATGCAGAAGGAAGTATAACTTCTTGTGATTGCGTGTTCATGAATGGAAACATCAACACCTTAAAATAGTTTCTAAAACCAATCTGTTTAAACTGACATGGAAACTTTAAGACTTTTAATTATCTAATTATAGACTTTAACCTATGTATAGAATAGCTTAAAGTCTAGGTTATTTTAGTTTAACTATTACATCTATAACCCATCTTTGCTCTGCAATGGTCCACAAAGCATATATGGAATCCCCAGACAATCTTCTACAATCCCTGTTCAAACCTGACCTTTGTAGCTTTCGTTCAGTTGCTGAACCACACCACCTTTCAATTATGCTTTCAATTATGGCTCACTTCTTAAATGGTGAGTGAAACACATTATTTTACACAAAGTCACTCAAAATGATTGTTGACATTGCGCTGACATGCCAGGGCTTTTTTTCTGGAGACCCGTTTTCAGTTCCCTACCCAGCCATGAATCCCACTGGATACCCTTCAGGCCAGTCACTCTGTTTCAACCTCACCAGCATCACAGAGATACTGGAAGGAAGAATTGCATCAGCGCCACTTGAAAGCCCTCTAAGAGGAAAACTGCGCTCATGAAACATCAGTTTAGGAGACACACTCATGGACATCATGGATCAATGCAACATAATCATCCACAGGAATAAAATTTATTCCAGTGCCT